AAATTGAGAACATAAACAAAAGAATACCTGCTTCACCACGCATTATGATTAATATTTTGAATAGCTCTGTTTGGAGTTTAGTGGATAGTGGGAGCCAAATTACTGCTATTTCAGAAAACTATTATAATAAATTAAAAATTGACTTTGAATTATTAGAACTTCCAGTTTCAAATGTAGTTGTCTCAACAGCAATAGGAAAAAAATCAACTAATATAAAAAAACAAATTTTGTTGCACATAAAAATCCATAATTTTCAAATTGCACATTATTTTCTAGTTGTGCCTTTTTTGTCTACTGATATTATTCTGGGAAATGATTTTAATTTAAGGGCTGGTTTGGTGATTGATTATTGGAAGACACAGCTTAGAATTAAACATGAAATTATACCATCTGAAATCATAAAATTTGAAAAATGTGATTTAGAAAGAATCATACTATCAAATAAAGATGAAGTGACGTGTATTCATATTGTTCGAATAGATAAAGAAAAATTTCAAATTAATAATGTAAATGAATCAAATTATCTGCTTGAAGATAAGAATGAAGCGCGAAATAAAAATAAAAATAATGAAATAAATGAAATTATAACGAGTGAAAAAATAAATACGTATAATATTAATATGTTTATGAATCAAGCAGAAGAAAGTTTATTATGTATAAATAGTGATTGCCATCAAAATGATAAAGATAAAATATTATGTAAAAACGATAGTATGACTCTTAATGAAAAATTAAAAAACATAGTTTTATTGAATAAGAATTTGAACGAAAATGAAAAGAGTGTTTTCCGACAATTATTGAATAAATATGAGAAACTTTTCTCAAACAAAACAGGTTGTGCAATAGGTTATGAACATAAATTAAAATTAGCTAAACCAAATCCGAAAATTAATAGACATTATTCAGTGCCTTTGGAATTTAGAACACCTCTTGCACTTGTTATTAAGGAGATGTTGGATCAAAGTATTATAGAGCCTGCTATTAGTCAATATTGTAATCCAATTAGGATAGTTATGAAATCGGATAAAACTCTTAGAATATGCCTAGACGCACGACAGTTAAATGATTGTATAGAGGATGATCATGAATCTCCTCCAATTATAGCTGAAATGTTGCAACAATTTTTTGAATGTAAATTTTTCTCAAAAATAGATTTAACTAATAGTTATTGGCAGGTAATGTTACATAAGGACTCGAGACCGTTGACAGCTTTTAGATTTGAGGGAAAAATGTATCAATGGATAAGAGTGCCATTTGGTGTTAAAACCGCTGGAAGCGCTCTTATAAGAGCTTTTAACATAGCCATGTTAACTCCTCTTTCACAAGATTTTAAATTTTTAGTTGATTCAAATGAAAATTGTTGTGATGATCCTTTTGATATTTATACAAACTCGCAGACTTATATTGATGATACTGTTGTCGCAACAAGGAGTTTCAATAGACACGTACAAATCCTTCAAATTATTTTCCAAAAATTGCTTCAAAGTAATTTTACGGTTAGAATTGATAAAACTGAATTGTTTCAAACTGAAATATTGTTTTTGGGGTTTCGTTTGTATACAAAAGGCATAGAGCCGAGTCTTGAAAGAGTAAGGGAGATAGTTGACTTTGAGCCGCCCGAAAACCAAAATCAATTACAATCTTTCTTTGGTATGTGTAACTACTATAGAAGATTTATAATAGCACATAATTCATATATTACACCTTTTCGCGATTTATTAAAAAAAGACTCATTATGGATTTGGACTGATAAGCATACGGAAAATTTTGAGAAGTTAAAAAAGAACTTTTTGAATGCAGTGTGTTTGAATCACATAAATCCTAATGCTAAGTTGAAGGTACAATGCGACGGAAGTTTGATGGGAATAGGCGGTATTTTGTATCAGTTAGATGAGAATGAAAGTCACTGTATTGTGTCCATAGCCAGTCGTTGTCTCACATCTGAGGAATCGCGATATACGACGACTGAGATCGAGTTGCTCGCAATTGTGTATTCGGTGACAAAATTTAGATGTTACCTGATTGGGACTAGATTTGATATAGTTACGGATCATAAAGGCTTAATTTTTATGTTATCCACTGTTTATCATAACTCTCGCTTAATCAGGTGGACTCTTTTGTTGCAACAATATATGTTTGACATTAAGTATTGCAAAGGTGTTGATAATGTCGCGGCAGATTTTATCAGTAGAAATCCAAATGGAAAATTTCGTACACAAATCAGTGATAGGTTGTTTATTAATCTGCTTAATCAATTTACACTGCCATATTTAGAAAATGAGATCTCTCCATTGTTAATATTGTCAATTAACAATCGTGATATCTCATTAAAATCAGTTTTAAAAAACTTGCAAAATGAACAAAGTACTGATAGGGTTTGTAGAGATATAATAGATAGCTTGAACAAACAAACAAATCAGAAATTGAGTGAGAATTTCCATGTATATGAAAACATACTTTTTCACAGTGAAAATAAAATCAGCAATTTTCGCATAGTCATACCACTGGTTTTGAAACAAGGTTTAATTGAGCATACACATAGGAAGCTTGGTCACCCGGGAGTATTTAAGACGCTTACGTATATGAAGCGATTTTATTACTGGAGGTTTATGCATCGAGATATAAAAAGTTTCGTCTTGTCATGCGATCTCTGTCAGCGAGTTAAGTACCTGTCGGTCGCGATGGAGGGTCCATATAACCTTGTGACTTCTGAATTTCCTTCAGACTTGGTTACCGTGGATTTTTATGGACCCCTCCCTCGCGCCCGGGGGGGAATGGAGTACTTGTTCGTCGTACTTGATGCTTTCTCAAAGCTTGTGAGGCTCTACCCTATGAAAGGAGCAACAACTTTAGCTTCAGTCAATAAAATCATTAAAGAATATATACCGGAATGTGGCAAGCCCAAAAAGATTTTAAGTGATAATGGCACGCAGTTTACCTCAAACCGATGGATAAACTCATTGGAGGAAATAGGCGTGAAAGTACTATTTAGTAGTATTCGCCATCCTCAGTCTAACCCTACAGAGCGCGTCATGCGGGAAATTGGTCGCCTTTTTAGAACTTTTTGTGTGAAAAAGCATACAACATGGATAGACTCGGTTAAAACAATAGAAAATTTACTAAATATTACCACCCATTATAGTACAAACTTTGCTCCCATAGAATTACATTTCGGACAGCATGTTAAGGATGAGATATCTAAGATTGTAAAGTTTCCATCTCCTCAACCAATTGATAAGGCGTTAATGATTACATTAGCAAGAGATAATATTCTGAGAAACTTTCAAAGAAGAAAGAAAAATCAAAGAAATAAAATATCTAAAGTAGTCTTGAACGTAAACGATTTGGTGATGTTGAGAGTCAGGCACTTATCAAATGCGCTTGACAAAGTCACACAAAAATTTTTTCACCTATATGAGGGGCCGTATAGAATCTCGAGAGTTATTGGCGAGAATGCTTTCCTTTTGGTTGATCCAAATGATCCATCAATCGAGAAGGGTACCTTTAATCGCCTCAATCTTCGCAAGTACAAAAATGCTGTGAATCAGAGTTCTTTATGCGTTGCCTTTCCGATTTCCTCGCAAAGTCTTTGCTATACCTTGCTGGACTAACGAATTATATTTTAAGTGAAATGTTTGATTTGTTTTGTGCGTATGAGTATGAGTGAGTTTATCTTGTGAAATGAATGACTGAAATGTAGTATGCTATGAATGTGTATGATGTTAAGTGCATGTATGATGATGAATGTCTTAAAAACAGATAGATTGAAATGTATTATCATGATCGAGATATGATGAATTTGTGAAAAGGAGAATTATATTCGAAAACCTATAAAGGGACAAAAGAAGAATGATATGATTAAATATGTATTGCTTTAAGCGATATCACGTGTACACCTATGTAATTACGAGAATATTTATTATATTATGTAAAATTAACTTGCGCTAATTACTCCGGAGTTATTTTTTAAGTCGACTTAGAATAGTATAAATAAGGGTTAACTATGTGGTGTGAAATTTGAGGTGTATTAAAGTAATTATAAGATTTAGCTCTATTGCATCCACTGAAATACGGAGCATTTTGTTCCTGCGATTCGTTCTAAATCTACGGAGCATATGTAACGCATCAATTTGAATTACTCAAATTTTGTGTAAGTAAGTAAGTGGGGAGTCGTTCCATGTACGCGCTCTATTATATAAGCCCCTCTCTAACGCTGCTCGCTCTCCTTTGCTTGGTTGCCACTCAGCGAGAAACATCACAGAAGGCGGGACCTTCTGACTTACAACTATTTGACGACATTCCAACGGCTATCTTCTGCGACAGAATCCGTTCTGGGATCAAGATAATTTCACTGCTTGTGTTGCAAGATATACTAGTGCAGTTTAGTGATTACCTCCTATATTGGGAATTGTGACGAGGCAAGCCAAGTTTCGCTTTTCTTCTCAGTTTTGAGATTACTTGGCAGCTATAAATATTCAATATTCATCGACAGATGTGTGGCATAGAAGAACCGAGCATTGCGAGCGAAGAACCATGAGCATCTTAGTGTGAGCTAATCTTTTATTATGTATCCGAGTTGACGAACCGTAGTTTGAATGTTAAATATGGAAATGTTTTGATTTTAATCTATACATCTCAGGTCTCACCGGGAGAGTGTAAGCATGTTTCATTTATTGATTTTAACTAAATAAATAGTTTTATAAGTTCTGAGTTAAATTCTAATAAACTTCATTTCTTGTTATTTGGTTCAATCTGATTGCCCGAGTCTTGCTCTACCGACTTAACTATTTTAAGTTAACTAATTTATCTTTTATATCATTTTCTCTTTTATATATATTTATATCAAATAAAATAATTTTACAGTATTCTTATATTTAAAAAATTGAAGACAGTGAATGCAATTTTTGCGAACTAATTTCAAATGAAAATTTTTCGAATTCTGTAGACGTTTAGGTAATGTTAAAGAAACTGTTCGTACGGCAATTTTACAGTATACTTAGTGTTAGTATATAATTTATAAGAATTTAAAACAAGATGAAACAAGAATTCTCCTAAAACAAATGATTTCACAACAAGATTTTTAACAATTTTACATCTTTCAAATATAAATTAACGGTCATACAAAAATAAATACATAAAGATTTATTAAATTAATTTACAACTAAATAGACCATTGATGAATAGTTTAATGGTTCCACTTAAACGCAACGTGCGCTATCATGAGATAAACCGTTGCCGTCAATGTACTAGTGATCAAAACTGGAAATCCTATTCTGTAAAAAGGTATTTTGGATTTAATAAATAATGAGGAATTAATGTTAATCAAAGACTGATAATTCATAATTGAAACTGGCAAATTAATAGTATAGAAAAATAATATAATAAGACACTCACTTAAAGAATTTCATGAATGTGAAATGATATCCATGTTGCTCAGCTATCCCAGCACAGACAACATTAGCCGTTGCTCCAATCAAAGTACCATTACCTAATGATATCAATGAAACTCATGAATAATTTATGGTATTGTTAAAAAAACTTATAATATCACGTATTACCTCCTAAACATGACCCGAAAGCTAATGCCCATATGAGAGGTTGTAAAGGTAACTGGAGCTCTTGATTTTCAGCTAATTTGGTGGCAATTCGTACCATCATAGTTGCTAGTGGTACATTATCAACAAAAGATCCGGCTATGGCAGATACCCATAGTAATAATAGAATTGCAACTGCTAGTCTGTAATCTTCGTTTACAGACATCACGACTAGTTCTGTCTTTTTACCGATGAATGCTATTAATCCAAGCTTTGATAAAGCCTGCAATTGGATTGTAAGAAGATTACATTGATAATTTTACTTAATTATTATTGAAAACTAGTTTATAGAATAATTACTTCTATTAGGACGAATAACGCCGCGAAGAATAATAAAGTGCTCCATTCAACTCTAGCCATGATACCATCAAAGTCTTCGTTATCAGCTAATATGAAGAGAAGTAATACACCAAAAAACGCCATCCAACCTAATGATAAATTAATATATGGCGAATTATGAAGAAAAAAAAGAGTTATCACAAGAATCATCGAGATTCCTGATTTGAGTAACAACCACTTATTTCTTATAGGGTACTGAAAAAATCAAAATTCAGACATTTAAATAGTTTCATTGAAAAAAGAAATAGTGAATGATTTACCTTATTTTCCAATTCTTCTAAGGTAGTTTGATAATTCTCTAATAACACACTTCCAGTAACTAGTTTCTGCTTCAATTCATATAATAGACGCTTTATCTTCTTCATCAAAGTTGCTCTAACAATGTTTTCATCTCTGCTGTAACTTGAAAGGCTTGCGGCAGCTCTTTGCCAAATGATAATTTCATGTCTCAATTCCTAAAAAAGTAATTTAATGTAAGTTTAATAATATAGCTACTATTTATTTAAATTTATCATGTATAAGTTGCATATAAATACTTGAATATCTTGTGGTTCATCAAAACGCAGCACATCTAGATTTCGGAAGATGATACAAAAGTGGACATATGTTGTAAAAAGAATCAATATTATTCCAATGGACATATGACTAGTGAATATTCCAAAGTTAATACCCTGGAATTAATGAAACCAATGTAATGAATATGTATATCTGAAATATTAATCAATTCGAAAATCAGGAGACATATTCATAAGAATACTTACCGCTTCAAAAACGATACGATTAGAAACTATAATAACATTCGGTGGATCACCAATTGGCGTTATACTTCCACCGATGTTTGAGAATATAACCATAGCTGTCAGTACAGGAACTGGATTTAATTGCATTAGTTCGCATAGTCGAATGGTCACAGGTGTCATTAGCAAGGCAGTAGTTACATTGTCTAAAAATGCCGAAATGAACGCTGTGAAGAAGCACAGAAGACAGACTAGTGACCAAATTTTTCCATTGGTAATCTACAAAGAAAGATTTTAGAGTATGTAATTAAGAATCAAATTATTTTATATAATTGACTTAAAAATTATACCTTATAAGCATACACTGCTAAATAGTCAAACATGCCAGTGTCTGAAAAAATCGTGACAAGCACCATCATTGAAAAAAGTAAAAGAAGAGTATCAGCATCAATCCACGATATAATTTCTTTCATTGTTGGTTTCTGTAATCAATAAATGGTCCTTTATCACATTTGAAATAAATATTTTTTCAAGGGATTACGGGCTCTGTAGAAAGTCCTCGTTAAAGTTAAAATAAATATTTCAGATGTTTTTAAAACTATTTTATAACTTTCCAAGTGCTTAATCCATTGTATCTTCATTAATATACAATATTATTTGTCATATCACCTCATTTAACATAGCTAGAATAGCTATAGAACTAGTCGATGCTAACATAGCTGCAATCGTTTTGTGCACTAGCTGATGAAAATAAATTCATTGAGTTTATACTAAGCGATCAATTCTTGAATTATAAATATAAAATAAATTTTTTAAAACCTCAAAAATTATTAGAACGTAAAGTCCTACTAATACAGCAGCGGCATACAAAACTCCATCTTCAATGTTGATTGGCGATTCATTATATATGAGCGTAAATAGGACTGTTGTATTCATATTAGTTTTTAATTTTAATAACAACGGATGATGATTTGATCTAAAATATAATTTATATTATAACGAGAATTTCATATTTTTTAAAAAAATTATATTTTAATTTTAAATTTATAGTCTCAAGTTGTTAAACCTTTCTGTTAAATTAAGATGGAAAATGTTTTTGATTTTTTGATTAGGTACCATATTCATTAAATAAACTGGTAAGAGGGGAATATTCCACACCCTCGATACATGCTAAAAATATATTATATAAATTAAATCAAAAGAAATCAATATCAATATCATTTTAAAAAATGCTTAAAAAATGCACCTGGGTGCGATTACGCAATCGTCCACAGCTAAAATAATCGAAATCAAATGATTCTATCCAGAGTGATATGTGATTGCTGAACAAACTTTGATTCGCATTCATGCTTACATTGGCCGTAATTAATAACGAGCCTTCAAGAGTTACGTCAATTTTATTATTGCGAATATCATTCGCAAGTGTTACATCTGGTAATTTAAGAAAAATTCTAAAAATAGTTCGATAATTGTGACTCAACGTTAACGATTTGAATTACAAAAACTTTCAAAACAATTATAATTTCATTTTTGACCTCTTTTCTTTCCATAAGCAAAAAAATTATGAATACTTTTTTGACTTTTTAATTAATAGTTTTGATTCATCATGTCAAATGAAAGGATACTTTTTGTTTCATTGTAACCTATTACAATTTGATGGGCCACTTCTATTTTTTCCTTTGTAACTATTAAAGCGAACTAAAATATATCAAAATAAATACTCCAAAGAAATATTTTGGAATTTTTGTTACTTATGTACTTACAAGGCAAATCATCCAACAAATTACAAGCAATGACAATTTCGTGTACCGAGCTATTGGATCTAATCTTCTCTGATGCAAATTCAATTTATCTACTGGATATTCGTTATTATTTTGAATACTAACAGCACGATAATAATTATTTTTCATATTAAACAATCGTATAGATATAAATTTTGAAATGAAACAAAACCTACTCTTCTAGCATTTGTTGTGGTTTAAGCGATAAGTTGAGAACGAGACATTCCGTTTTTGTAGTATTTGTACCTGAAAAACTTTGAATTTTCTGTATGTTTGAGAGTTCGATTGACTACAAAGCTAAAAAATCTAGTATTATGATATTGTTTAATTTATAATCGATCATGGGGAGAACATTAACAATTTTCAACAACATGCAACGCTTGCTTACTAAAATGAAATAACAAAAAATCATCTTTTTCTAAATGAACATACTTCCTCTGCATTTTGTTATATTCCTTCTGCATAAAAGCTAAACTTGGATCTAAGCGAATTGCTTCTGGCAATTTGCTCCAAACTTTCAAAAAGTCTTCAGAGATATTTCCGATTCTCACCGATGAACTCATTTGCGATATTGAACTTAACATTCGTGATTCTCTTATTGAACATTGTGTTGTTCGAGAAATTTCATCTTCTTCACTACAACTACTATTGCTGCTGCTACTACTTGATAATTTAAACATTTTCAACTTTTTTTAAGCAATTGGAAATGTATATCGTAATAGATTCTCATGCGCGATGAAAATTTGCGAGCGTCAGTGTCTCTGCTGTGGTCTTCTCGACAACTGACAACTTACGATAGCAATATAAACACTTGGCCAGTGAGACTATATTCCGTCGCATTGTTTTGAAAACTTTTAATGATAAAAGTACTGAATTTTAAATATAATTCTTATGAAATTGCTCATTTTAAGTTCCTTTTCATCGATAGCTATATACGTATTCTTTTGCATTAGCAAAACAATGATTTTTTTTTAAATTTTTCTAAAAAGAAACAATACAGTTTATTTATCTAAGTTTTAATAATTATCAAAGTAAGAATAGCAATTAATAACATATGTTAGTTCATGTTCATTTCTATTGTGATTTTATTTTTCTTAGACAATGATAGAATGCCAAAAAGGTCATTATAATTCATTCTGTCAGTATAAATATTGATGTATGGTTTCTTTAGCATATTGCAAAATATTAAAGTGCAACTAAAAGCTATGCCTTTAAAATTGCAATTATATCAGTTATATTTACCTGTAAAACCTTTTTTTAAGAATGCAGTCACTAGTTCAAGTAAAGAAACTTTAGTACGGGGGATACATATTGATAATTCTATTTGATTTCGATAGTACCATTATGACTGACGTTCGAGGAATTTTCGTTATTAAAACATCATTTAAAAATGAAGAAGATAATAAAAAATTCAAAAACAAAAAAGATCGAACAAATAAATGTTTACATGTTGACGTGGCTCAATGGTTACTGTTTCTTGCTTTTTGAGATTATTACAATTATTTGTCAATAGATTTCTGATTATTTTGCACAACTTATTTGCTATTTACCTTATTTTACTTTTTATGCCACATAAAAATGATTTAAGTCTTGTAAGAAAATCAGTTTTCACCAATTGCACAACATACGCAATGTTTCAGACTTTCTTTTAATTTTAACGAATAATATATGATTTTTCAGGGCGAAAAATCGAAATCTTTAGCAAAAATATGTTTGGATCGTTTTTTCAGTGCTATTTTACACATAAGAGTTTTTTCCTTTAATATATTAATGCAAGGGAATATAATAATATGTAATAATAAATTGTTATTGTTTATTTCAGTTTACGAACTAAACTTGATTTTGTTTATATATCTTACTTAATCCTAATATAATATAAAAATGAAAAAATGACCTAATTTCAGTCTATCTAAATAGTTTTATGACAATAAATTGAATTATACGAAGGAGAAAGAGTAACATTTAGAATTATGAAAATGAACCATATGTCTTTAAATAAATAGTTACATCAATATCTTGTGAATGCAATTTTTTTAATAACACCTAAATAATTCTCAAAAGCAAAAGACGCAAATAAGTTATGTCAATTAGTGGTTGATATATTTTTTTAAAATTGTAATGTCGCCACCATTTTTATATGAATATAATTTATCATTTATTCAAAGAATCTCGCACCGTTTGCGTGAGAACACTTTAAAGTTATACCTGGAAATTCAGATTTGAAATTTTTAATTTTATAACTTAAATTTCGTTTGCTTTCAAATTAAAACGTACGACAAATTCTTACTTTTGTAATCTTTATTACATAATAATCAATTAAAAATAGCATGATTTAAATTAAATTTAAAATTAAATTTAAAACTGTGCGAGATTATATCTTTTCGAGCATATTATAAAAATGTTTTTATAAATAAGTATTTTATTTTTAATATATTGATATTCAGTTGAGATTTTAGTTTTGAAGCATACAGTCGTTATCGTAAATAGTACACATAAATGTTGATACTATGTTAATAAATACATGAAGTTTCAGAAAATGTATCACCTCAAGAGTGCCAATTAAACACTACGTGCGCCACCATGAGGTAAAGTGTAATTGTAATATTGCTGGTAATCAATACGGGAAAGCCCATCCTGAAAAACATTAATTTAAAGAAACTATATATTTCTGTTTCAGTCATCTAAAATAGCAATAATTCATACATATCGATGTAACTTCATACTTGATAAGTTTTATAAAACTTAAAGCAGTAAAATAAAATAGGCGTAAATATTAATCGTTACTCAACTTGAAAAATTGCATGAATGTTAAATGATAACCATGTTGTTCAGCTACTCCAGCGCAGACTACATTAGCAGTTGCACCAATTAATGTTCCATTACCTGAAAATTATCAAGGAAAAATATATGTGACGCAGAAATTATGGAAGTTATTAATTAGAGTTGTTGTACCTCCTAAGCAAGCGCCGAATGCTAGTGCCCATATTAAAGGTTGTAGAGGTAATTTAAGATTTTCATTTTCTGCTAATACAAGAGCAATCCTTATCAACATTGTTGTAAGTGGTACGTTATCGAAGAGGGCGCCGATTATAGCAGATACCCATAACATAAGTAAGATTGCAACTGTTAGTCTATATTCTTCGCTAACGGACATTACAACAATTTCAACTTGTTTACCAATCCAATCTATGAAGCCGAGTTTAGCTAATGCCTATTATATTAATAATAATAAAAATGTATTATATTATTATATTAATTAGCATATTATTCACATTTGTTAGGAGTGATTGATATCACCTCCATCATGACAAATAATGCTGCAAAAAATAACAAAGTACTCCATTCAACTTTAGTAATTATGCCTTCAAAATCTTCATTGTCAGCCAAAATGGCAAGTAATAAAACGCCTAAAAATGCGGTCCATCCCAACGATAAATTGTTTTTTGGTGTACTGTGGAAGAAGAAAAGCACCAACACTAGGATCATCGATAATCCTGATTTAACCAGTAAACTTTTATTCTTGATCGGATACTAAAAAGTGAAAGTTATTATGAATTTTATAGATTCACAAATATTTTCATTTATCATCCGAAATGATACCTTGTTCTGCAATTCTTTCAAAGTGGTCTCGTAATCTCTTAATTCGTTTTGTGTGGATGATTTCTTTTGTGATTCATTCTTAAGTTGTTCTAATTTTACTATAATGGTTTCTTTTACAAAGTTTTCATCTCTATTATTGTTAGGAAGTGTATTAGCCAAATTTTGCCAATGAATGATTTTGTTTTGCAAATCCTAATATGCACAAATTATTTTGTAAATATAAACATTATTTATAAATGCAACAAATAATAATATCAAGATGTATTTAAAACAAATCACATCCAAATATTCAAATACCTCCACGTTTTTTGTATTCTTTGGGCGCAATATATCAAGATTTCTAAAAATGAAACTGAAATGGCCATACATAACTATAAGTACTAAAATTATCCCGACGCTCATGTGAGCTGTGAATGTTCCGAAGTCAATACCCTAATAATGTCAAATAATTAATTAAATAAATAATATTTCTTTCTGTCAGGTATGTATTCCAATCAAAACCGCGACTGTATACGCACCGCATCAATGACATCATGATGTGAAGCGATGATGACGTTTGGGGGGTCGCCAACAGGTGTCATACCGCCACCAATATTAGAAAAGATTACCATTGCTGTCAATATAGGAACTGGATTCAAGTTCATCACATTGCAAAGTCGAATTGTTACCGGTGTTACTAATAAAATAACGGTAACATTATCTAAGCAAGATGAAATTAATGCCGTTGAAAAACAAAGTGTACAAATCAGTGGCCAAACTGCTCCTTTAGTAGTCTATAATTAAAGTTACAATGCGGTAGATTTATACTAAGTTTCTATGCTCAAACTTTTTAACTTTTTCAGAACCTTATAGTAGTTCAATATTTTAATTTACCTTATAAGCATACACAGCTAAAAAGTCAAAAATACCAGTGTTAGATATAATTGCGACAAGTAACATCATTGAAAATAAGAGTAATAAGGTATCAATATCAATCCATGTTAATATTTCTTCCATCGATGGCCTCTATAAATATTGAAAAATTTAGTATTTAAATCTTTTTATTAAATAGATTGCAAGATGATTACCTGATTTAAAATAGTCAAAACTGCCAAAGAACTAATTGAAATAATCACAGCTGCAAGTGTTTTATTGATCATCTGATAAAACATAATATATAAGAATAAGATTGCCGGTAAATTTTTATAAGTTATTCGTGTACCTCAAAAATTATTAGAATGTAGAGTCCCATCAATAGAACAGCACCATATATAACTCCCTTATCAGTGTCTATTGGAAATTGATCGTATGAAATAAACAAAGGAACTGCATTTTTCGTATTTGTTTTCAATTTCAGCAAAAGAGAATGTTGATTCAAACTGTAATAAGAAATATAGAAAAATTATTTTTTATTTATTTTACACTAAACACATTCTTTGAAAGTAATTTTTTCATGTCTATTTATATTTATCAACAGTACCTTTCTGGTAGATCCAGAAAAAAAATATTTTTTTCTTTTTGACTGTTGAACATTTCTGTTGGATATGATGGAAATAGAAGTATAATCCAAGTTGTTGATATATTCTAGCGAGAAATAAAATTATATTACTAATACTAGTATGATGAGAAAAATAAAATATGATTTAGTTATTACCTGTACGACATTTTCTAAATTCATCAATTCCATCCAAACTGATACGTAATGAGTTGAATCGGTAGTATTCAAAGAATTTTTCTGATTTTGTAATAATGGACTCTCAATCGTCACAGAAATTCTATCATTCCATTTACTATTAACAAGCGTTAAGTCTTTCTTTTAAGGAAAATTATCAATATCCCAATTCAAACTTTCGTAAATTAAAATTAAATTAATTTAATTGTCACACTACGTTCTTTGGAAAAATTTGTTTCTACAAGTGTGATGGGTCGAGGGTTTTGTCCTTCTTTTTGCACAGATATTTAGTATGTCTTGCTAATTACGGCGCAACAATTATAATTGAGCTACACATAGGAAAATTTAAAAAAAATTTTTGTTTCACATCGACTCCCTTCATCTAGCACCAATTTTCGCGTGACGGGCTGAAGGTTCATTCATTTTGTTGCCTGATCATTGAAGATAGGGTTGGGTGTGTAATATAAATGTAATTAGAATTACAATGAACTGTGTGCTCTTTAGGTGAGACCGTGACAAGCGCGAGTAAAAGCAAAAAATGTACTCGAGAGACTCTCACAAGGATCCATCCGTGATATAAGAAAGATACGAGTTCATTAAAGTTAATTTTTTATAAGAAATAAACCAATTGAGAAAATTGTATTATTTATTAAAGGTTACTCCTTGTTTCTTCATGTTCTAATGCAATTTGTTGAGAGAAACTTAATTTTTCAGTTGTAGTTAGTAAAGTGATCTGAAAAATAATGGAAAATAAAAACAACTTCATCAAATATTCTTAATAATATTTTCAATGGACTCACGAAAAACATTATCCAGCAAGTAAGAAGAAATAACACTTTTATGTACTGAGCAATCAAAATTATTCTTCTTTTATTTAAATTATAGTTATTGAGAAAAGTGTGTGATTCATTATAACTTTGCTGCCTATAGTATTAAATAATCTATTTAATATTTTTAAGTTATAATTCAAAATATATTTTCATTAGTAGTAACTTACTTTTGTAATTCACGCTGCGGATGTGTGGGCGTATTTATGTCCAGGACATTGGCATTGGAAACCCTTTAACATTTATAATGAGATTTTAGAATCTATTGCGAAATGATATGAGTTTTAAAAATTTCATTTTAATATTATTGAGTTCCATGCAATATGTTCTATTATTTCATTTATTAATTTTTTTCTTTCGAAAATTGTGAAACAAAAATTTACGTTCCGTTCATATTTAAGTATATAAGTAAGTATATAAGTATACATTTATTCAGAATATTCATAAAAGTTATTGTGAAACAAAAAGTGACATACAAATGAAATCAAAAGAACGAAAAGAAAGATTTTAATGAACAAATCATATATTTTTTGGCTTAATATTTTTTATGATTATAATTATACATCGATTTTGATGATATTCACAGCAAATATTACAGTCAGTGGTTTTAGATAAATTTGAGTAATTGTAATTTTTCAACTATCATCTGGTTTTACTAAATATTTTAGCGATTTCGTAAATCAAAATCACTCAAATTAATTTCTACTAATCAACGAAATAAATTGTAGTGCGGTATAGTAAGCTATATATCTATTCCAACAGGATAATACGAGTACATTCTTTAGCTAGTGTAGGAAAGTAGATTCTCGTGTCGTGTCGAAAAATCAAGTTAGATACATGCGCGAGAAACTACACTCTTGTGTGGCTTATTGACCCTGACTTCGCTTGGGCGTAAGCGTTCACATGTGGCTCAAATCACTTTTACGCACTAGTATCAAAATATACTGTAAGATTAACTAATTTTATAAATTATTTAAGTAACGAAATAATCAATTATAATTGATAGTTTAATTTTGTGTTTATCGATTTATTTTGTATCATTTTTGTTGAATTATATTTTATTTTTTGTGTGTTTATTATCTTTATTCTTAATTGTGCGTGTATTTTTACTTATTAAAATTAATTCGAAGTTTTATACTGTTTTGAATAATAAACGAATAATGCTCAATGAATAATGTATATTGTAGTTAATAATTTATTTATTTACAATTTTTAATACGAACATTTGTTGTACAACATTTTTTTTATTTTTACCTTCATTTATAGAGGAAGTAAAAGTGGTGTGAAATCACGAATTTTTTCATTAATAATTTACACAACTCTTCAAAGCGACTGAATGAATATATAGTTCGAAACGATAGAATAATAAATGTTTTTTCATGTTTTAATAAGACCTTACTTGGTTCGCTTCATCCCTTTCTATATTATAAAATTAACTAATTCAACTATTAATACTCAAGATTTGGGTAGATTGATATTCATATTTGATAACAATTAGGGAAGCAAATTCAGTATGTAAGTACCATTTAGTTATTATAATTTTTATAACAACAATACTCAGTTACAAACATTACAAAATTCATTTAAATGTACTTACATATTTTGTATTTTTATATATTCTTTTTGTATTGAATCAATACTTGGATCCAAATGGATTATGTCGGGCAATCTGCACCAAATTTTTAAAAAATCTTCGGAAATATTCTCCATATTTACTGTGTAATTTGACGTTGAAGCGTTGTCTAAGTTATGAAATTTTGTTCTCGAGAAGCGAGGTGTTACTGAATTTCCTTCCCATTCCGGATCTATCTCGATATTCATTTTAAGGTAAGCAGTTACGTAGTTAATTCAACTTTAAACGATAGCATTTATTTATACCATGCGTGAAAGATAAAAAATTAAACGGAATTGCAACAGTATTCTAGAAGACTAAACTTATCTTGACGGGTATTCGAATGTTGACTGATAAGATGACGACAAAGCTAAAGTCTTTTTGTCTTTGAGATATTAGCTTCGATGTGTTTGCTCAGCTCTAGGCGCCAGACTATATTTGAAGACAGACCTCTTATCTCCAGTACCACTGAACATGAATCTGAAGAATACATCGTTGGAAATTTAACAAACTGGAAACCATAAAATTTTACAATTATTATAATTCGGAAAAGTCATTACTATAATAAGAAAGAAGAAAAAGTTTGGGTGTGAAAAATAAAAAATTAAAAACTACAATTACTCGCAATCATAAAATCTGCAAAGAAATAATAAATTTAGACAGGTGCGGTTAGAACCATTAAATATATTGCCACATTTAAAACTGGGCTAAAGCACATTTTACACTTTAGCATTATTTTCACAAGTATCAGAAGATTCGAAAGTGATGAAGCAATGGTAACAAGTCATGCAGAACATATAAAAGTGATTCAAATCTGTGGCTTCGTACTTTTTTACATATTCAATTTTCAACTATGTTCAGACTCATTATTGGACGGGTGATACCGATAAAGTCTATGTACATTATAATGATACTTATACAAAGGATAATAACTCGAACTGAAAAAAATACAAAATGTATTTTACTAATCATCCATAAAGATAAGGAAGTTGATGCAAGACAGATTTGATTTAACTTTAATAATTACGCTTTAGTCAGAACTGTACATACGATTTAAGAAAAGTTGATTTCATTTGTAAAATTTAGTAATTAGTATATTACTTCAAATTATCATATGAGTAATGTTAAATAATAAATTGGTTATTTAAAAAGTAATTGTATTATGAATCCGTTCAAGTAAATTAAAAACTTAGTTTTTCACAAATATTCAATACATAATGTTAATCACTTCAATATTTTAATTCATAATATTGATATGATAACCTCCACATTCACGTAATTTGATTTAATATGGTTGTTGGATCTATGTTAAAACATGACAGTATAGTAATTTGATTGTTTATACCTTTTATTTTATTTTATTTCAGCCATTATTCGTTTACTAAATACTGTATAATAATAGTGAATAGTGATGCTGATATGCAAAGAGTATTAATTCTATATTCCTATAAAATGGATTGTGTGAAAACATTTGTGTTAAAATATTCAATTGTATCAATTTTTTATTTATTGAAAATTACAAGAACGAAAAGATGTTTCCCAATCACAATAGTTATTTGCCATTTTTTCTGTTATTAATTTATATTTGTTTGTTTTTATGGGTCCAAATTACATCTTTTTTATATATTTGATGTATATCATTTAAAGAGTTTTACTGTCAAATAATTTATAAATAAAAGGAAATAAGATGATGCTTGCAATATAAAGTCAACAAAAGTAATAACTATGCAACATTAGATTCTATATAGATGCGGTAACAGTATAAGCATTATGGTTTAAATAAAATTCTCTAATATTCGACTTTAATTTATATATTTCTACTATTAAAAAATATGCCTTCTATATTTTTATGTAATATACAAAACGTAGTATGATTCGGAGTCGAATTAAAAAGTTCCAATCTAGTGTTGTATATGTATTGTACTTTTAGTTTATGTATTTTTAGTAGTTGTCATGTACTTTTAGTAGTTTCATGTACTTTTAGTAGTTCCAATCAAATACAGCATGTGATACTATCAAATAAATAGTTATGGTTAGGTTACTCGTAATCATGGCTGGAAATCCCAACCTGAAAAAATAATTATTTTCAAGAAATTAATTTAAAAAATGTCCAAAATCTTTTTGAAATGCTTGACTATACTATAAAAATATAGCAGCTCACTTAAAAAACTGCATAAATGTTAGATGATAACCATGCTGTTCAGCTACACCGGCACATACAACATTTGCAGTCGCTCCAATTAACGTCCCATTTCCTTAAAAATATATAACTTAGATTTTTCAATTAATTTATTAGTTACAGATTAAACTAAAACAAGTTACCTCCTAAACAAGCACCAAAAGCCAATGCCCAAATCAAAGGTTGGAGAGGTATTTTTAGATCTTGATTTTCTGATAAGCCAATGATAATTCTTATTAACATTGTTATTAGAGGTACATTATCGAATAAAGCTCCAGCAATTGCGGATATCCATACGATTAGTAAAATACCAACAGTGAGTCTGTATTCTTCATTGACAGTCATAATCGCGAATTCAGTCTGCTTGCCTATCCAAGCTATTAAACCGAGTTTGGATAGTACCTATTGTATTATATACAAAATCATAAATTAACATAAGGTGTTATAATTAGTTTGTATCTTAAAGAAATGTCATTACTATATACATACCTCTATCATAACGAAAAGCGCAGCAAAAAATAACAATGTACCCCATTCAACTTTTGTTAATATATTATCAAAATCTTCATCATTCGCTAAAACAAGAAGAAGTAAAACTCCCATAAATGCTGTCCAGCCTAACGACAAGTTAAATTGAGGTAAACTGTGAAAGAAGAATAGGACCAAGACAAAAGTAATGGAAAATCCTGATTTTGCCAATAACCACTTCTTTTTTATAGGATACTAAGGTAAAATCAGATATAATACGTATAATCGCTATCTAAAAATTTTGTATTGATCGTTTGAAAATGTTGGCAAAAATCTTCACCTTTTTCTGTAAATCCTTTAATGTAGATTCGAAGTCATCTGGTGTTTTGATTGTATGATCTGTTTTTTGAGCTAATTCATCTTCGAGGTAATTAATTTTTCTTACTATACTTCCATTCACTAGAATTTCATCTCTACTGTTACGAGGTAGACGATCAGCAGCTTCTTTCCAAATAGAAATCCTGTGTTGTAATGCCTTGAAAAGAAATTTATTGTCACGGAGAAAACAAAATTATATTTAAGCTTCAAGTACCTGTAAATCTTGTCGTTCAGTATTGGAACGCAAAACGTCTATATTTCGAAAAACAAAACGAAAGTGTCCGTACATTACAAACAGTACTATAATCATACCCAAACTCATATGTACTGTAAAAATTCCAAAATTAATATTCTGAAATCATCATATGAATATTTAGTGACAAACATTCAGATTTCTTTAAAAGAAGGTCCCTGAATGTATACCGCATTAATGACATCGTGGTTTGACGCGATGATAACATTTGGGGGATCTCCAACTGGTGTGGCGCCGCCTCCAATGTTAGAAAATATTACCATGGTCGTTAATATAGGAACTGGATTCAACTGTATAACTTCGCAAAGTCGGATAGTTACTGGTGTCAGTAATAAAATAATTGTCACGTTATCAAGAAAAGCTGATGTAATAGCTGTAAAAAGACAAAGTGTACAGAGGAGGGACCAAACATCTCCCTTCGTAATCTGAAATATAATTAAATTTTTATTAAAGTAATCGTTTTAAATAATTTTGTAAATAAAATTTTGAATTTTACGTACTTTATAAGCATATACAGCCAAGTAATCAAAAATTCCAGTTTCTGATATAACAGCAACAAGCATCATCATAGAAAAAAGAAGCAAGAGAGTGTCAATATCGATCCAAGATAAAATTTCCATCATTGTTGCTTTCTACAGACATTCATCCAATTATTATCTTATAAAAACTTATTTCTTTATTGTGTGAATTATGTTTCGTACTTGCTTAAGGGCAGCTAAAACCGCTAATGAACTTGTTGAAGCTAAGATAGCACCAATAGTTTTGTGTACGACCTGAAACGAATTAATTTTTATCATAAATTTATTTGTATTAAAAAATTATGGACTTGGATAATAATTCTTAATCATACTTCAGATATTATTAGTATATATAGTCCAATCAATAAAGCAGCACCGTACCATACTCCATTTTCAGTATCAATAGGAGATTCGTTATAAGATACTATAAAAGGTAACGACACATTGACGTTTGATTTGAATTTTAGTGATAATAAGTGATGATCTGGAAGTCTAAAATTAAAGTTATATAGTATTTAATTGGCATTTTGTTGGAAATGATATAATAATAATTATGTGCAATAAAAGGGATAGAACAAAAATTCAAGGTAAAAATTTAAGATAAAATATTGGACCTTTCTGGAAAATTCAGAAGAAAAACTTTTGTCTTTTTTTGTAACGGTGGAATCGTTTCCGGGTGAAACGATACAAGCGGTATAGTCCATGTTGTTGATAAGTTCTGTTAACATGAATGATAAGCTCATAAAAAATTTCGTATTAATAAGAATATTATTATCTAAAAATTTCAAATTACTCCAGAAATTGAATTATAAATTACAAATTAAATTACTTTAATTCCGTTGTCAAATAAATCATTTCTAAAATGTGTTGATTCTAATGCTTCGATCCAAACGGTCAGATAATATTCAGATAAACTATTATTGATATTCCTGTGTTCATTTGCAAATAATGAACCTTCAATCGTTACACCAATTCTGTCACTACTAATGCTTTTCATAAGTGTTAAGTCTGCAACTTTCAGGAAAATTTTCTCAATATTCATTGATTACTTTATAATTAACAAATTTTATAAGAAAAGAAAAAAAAAGATGAATTATTTTTATTTGAAATTAAATGAGGTATTTTCAAAGAGGATTTTTGGTCTATTATAAAAAAATATAGATGCTAGTTCAATTTCAATAGAATTAATGAGAAAAATTTCCTAAAATCTTTGTAATATAAGTAGAATATTTCTAAAAAATGCAAATTATAACCCACTAACTTCGCAGAAACATAATTAATTATGTATATTATAATATAATATACTAATATACCAAATATAATTTATAGACATACACATAAATAATATATGTATTTATTTAATATAGATAATTATTATGAATATAATTTTTTTCATGAATAAAAAAATTTCGAAAATATAATATTAGCACAGTTAATGAGTCGAAACTGCTAGGAATTGTGGCAAATATATTTTTTTAAAGGATACTTATTATATTATTGTTATCAACGATTATTTGTCGAAGATTTTCATCATTATTTTTTGTAATTAATAAAGGAACCTAGAAAATTACAAAATGTAATTGATTAAAAATTTTAATTTTACTGCATATACTTACAAAAAATGCTATCCAACAAAGAATTAGTAATGAATCTTTCAGGCTTCGGAAAAAAATTCGACATTTCTTTCTTTTTGAGGTTTGTTTATTCTCAAATTGTTGATTGCTTATGTTTGAAAATTGGAAATTACAAAAATAATTAAAATATCGTCTAATATTATACTACGACGATATTAATAACAGTAATGTATCAATTACTTACTCATTAAGTATTTGCTCAAATAAATCTGTCGTAAGACGGTTAATGTTTTCAGGATCTGTATCTGGAATACTTTTCAATTATACATTTTATTACTAATCTTAATAAAACTGAGAAACTTTGATATATATCTATATAATACATGGCGAAAAAGGCAAGAAAAGCTTTAGATGCCGCATGGGGGATCATGAAAAGGGCAAGACTAAGCTCTATAAAGAAGAGACTCCATCTGATGAAAGTCATGAGAAAATCAGGGGGCTTATACGGAGCGGAAATATGGGGTTGGGATCAGCAAGAAGTAATGGAAAGGATTCAAGCGAAAATAGGAAAGATGATCTTAGGGATAATTAGGAACACTTCTAACTACATATGGAGAATGGAGTTGGGAATAGAAAGCCTAAGGCTGAAGACGCTAAAGAGGGTGGGGAGGATAATGGGAATGAAAGAGAATAGACTACCTAAGATTTGCTTGAGAGAAGAATTAAGGGCCATAAGCAACAGAGAACCTACAAGATGGGGAAGGGGTTGGGAAGAAGCGATGAGATCGGTAGGAGATGGAGTAACGTTGGAGCAGTTATGGGGAGGCATGGGGAGCGAAGAATGGCTGGGCAGATTAGAGATGGCAGTGAAAATATTGGCGGAACAGGAATTGCAAAACAACTGGAACAGGATTGATAAATCAGGGTACTGGAAATACTACAAAACATGGAAGGTAGCGATCGGACAGGAAAAATATTGGCAGGAGAAGGGAACTGCGGGCTACCTGAAGGAGCAATGGGCAAGGATAAGATGTGGAAGCATTAGCTTGGAGGGAGAAAAAGGGTTTAAGGATAGGGGATGTAGGCTATGTAAAGACGAAGAGGAAGACCCTCAACATATTTGGGTATGTCAAGAAGCGAGAAGGAAGGTAAAGAAAGATTGGCTGGAAGCGGTGGACAAATGGAGGGGAGACAGTAGAGGGGAGGCTCTAATCGAGAGACTGGAAAAGATTCTGAAGGGACCGATTGACAAAGGGATTTGTGAATACGCGAAGCAATTTGAGGAGCTGGTGCGGAAAAGGAAGGAAGGATAACCAGGAGAAAGAAGAAGAGGGAAGTCGCAGGGTAACGGAAGAATGAAGATACAAGGAAGGAGGATTCAATGGAGGATGAAGCATGAAATACATTATATGAAAACTTTAGTAAATTTTTGTAATTATTATAATTTTTGTAATTTATGTAATTTTAGTAATTTTTGTAATTCTTGTAATAATTTTTGTAATTTTTGTAATTTTATAATTTTATAATTTTTTTGTAATTTGTGCAAAAATTTTTGTAAGTTTTTGTATGTATGGGGATATTGTATGAGGGAGGTAATGTAAAAAACTTAATGTTATACATTTCTGGAAATAAAATATATATATATATATATATATATATATATATATAAATTAACAAACTATTCATATACATGGAAATAAATGTATAGTAAGTTATATTTTTATAAGAAGAACTTTATTTCTGCAAACTACTAAAACCGTTACAATAGGATAAGATGACAACATTCTAAAGACTTGTTAATTAATAGATAACTAAGAGCACTGTTTTGTAGAAACATGAGAATTATTAGGGTAAACCCGACTGACTACAATTTTGTATATCTAGCTACACAATTTGCAACTATAGTATTTCTTATACTGCATTTGTTCGGTTTTCTTGGATGCACTGAATTAAATAGATGAAAAATAGCACATTGGACTTTTAAGTTATTGCATTTTACTTTTATAATTATTTATATGTCCTATTTTGGAAACTTTTGATACAATAATTTTTATTAATTAGATTTTCTGAAGGTTATATTTTTTACTTAAATATTTTTGGGAAATAATTGGAGATTGATTAAATAATTATTTATGTATTTTTTGCAAATTGATTTCCTAAATGTAGTATAAGTCAACAAATAAATAATCAATAAATATCAACTGTTGAAAATGCTCAATTGTATCTATTACTATTTGTCATTACATATATAAACCTTCGTGTCAAATTTAAAACTTTAGTTCTAACGGCAACATTTCAATTTATTTCTGTTTTCATTGATTTACAGTCACGCGCTTGACTGATGACGCAATTTATATTTTGATGAAGTATTTAACCAATAGTAAAAGAGTTTTTATTTTATGATGACACAATTGGTAACAGAAGAATATGCATCAATTAATTGAAATCTGAAGATTGTTTCTACTTACTATTCAATAGAAGATAATAAAATATTAAATTTAGTATTAAAAAGTATCTCCGAATTTAAAATTAAAATGATAAGTAAAAAACTGATTTACGAATGTAAAGCATCTATAAAGATAACATTCCTGAAGAAAGGTAGGAGTTTAAAACAATCATTCGTATCTATTTATTGATAATATTAAACTGGTTACACATACTTTGTTGATGTATGGTTGTATTGATTTTGCACAAAAGCTACGTCTGAGTCAGATTGAATTTCCATAGGCAGTTGAAGCCAAATTTTCAAAAAATCCTCTGAGAGATTTCCATTTTCCATTGGCAAAATTGAAACTGTTGCGATATTAAGTGACTTCCTTTTCGAGCATTGTGGAGTAATGGAACATATGGTTCCACTATCGGAATCGTTATTCATGTGTAACTTAAAGATTTAACCAATGAAAATTTTTGCTAAAAGTAAAGCGCGTATCTTACTTGCAATCTTGACTTATACTGGCGATAAACGACGATGGAAATCAAGATATATATATTTCTTTTTCGTTTAAGAATGACCATGGAAACTTTCGTTGAATCAGAGTGGCGCTAGTGCCGTTTATGAGAAGGATAACTTACCAATCGGCGCCACTGTTCTATTGTCCGATTTGATTACAATTTACGGAACGTCGGTAGAGTAGAAAAATGAAAAGCAGAACAAGACCGATATTTCACGTATGAGGAAATGCGTTCTTTATCGACAAGAGATTAGAGTGCATCACAGAACTAAGATGGAAATACAATGAGACTCGTCACCATTTATGTACGATAAATTATAATTTACATGAACTAATTTACCGTATGCAAATTTTTTATCATGAAGCTTTCTTAATTTTATTGATATATGATACAAAACATACTAATATTTTAAAATATATATAATCTAGTAAATCTAATAAATAAAAACCGCATAATTTCGACGTAATAAAAGGACGAAATCAGCTCAAATTGCCGTAAAATCAAGCCTAGTAATAAATTTATTAACGATAACTACTAATTATAATTAGATCGGAAATGGTAATTGAGATACTCAAAAATTACTTCTCCTGTTTTTAATTAAAGGTTTGATATACTCATTAGTCGATAAATTGATTAATTATAATAAATTTCAATAAAATTGTGACTTCTGTGATGTTCTTGTTAGAAAGATAGTCATTTAATTATTCCACTGTTCTTGCAGTTTAATATTAGATAGAATGAACTTGTTTAGCTAATATATAGTGATTAAAAACGATGATCTTAATTATATTTTTTCCTTTTTTGTAGCAGTAGCTCTAACCATGAAAGTTTTTCTAGTTTTTCAGTTATCTGCTTTGCAGTAATGAGAGGTTGAAGTTTGTCAGGAGCATTCAAAATCCAAGCAAAAGGATGCGAGCTACTGTAAATTATATCGTTCTGCAATTTAAACGGTTATAAGGGAAATTAATAGAAATATAAATTTTCCAATACAGAAAGTGATATGGTATCCTTTCAAATACCACGTTTTTCTTTCATTTTGTTGTTGACAAATTATTGGCAATGTTCTAATATTCTCGTGACTATTCCTACTTATTTAAAAAATTATTTTTAAAAACTGATTATACAATGTTATATGTTTAAAAGAATTTTTTTATAAAAATCGTAGTCGGAGTAGAGACAGAATACATTTCAGGGTAGTTTGCTGAACACACCACTTTTTCTATTCAACTTCATAGAACTTAATGATAAGCTTAACAATCGATGGGTAAAATTTACCCTCGATTCTTTTATTATGAATCGCGATTTCATCTTTACTTATTACGATATAACCACAACTTATCGATTTAAGGCTTCTTGTTTTTTTATTAACAATGAAAATTTTCCCTCAACTGGCAGAGTAATTATTTTATTGAAACATATCGGCTTTTTGCGTACGATTTTTACAATCGAGGTTGCAGTATAATTTTAGCCTGACGACTTGTTATTGATACTTATAGAAAAATATATTTCATGGTTTTTATGTCAAATATTGAAAATGATTACAATATTTAAAAATAACTTTTCACGGCAAGAGAATTACAGCGTACTTTTTAATATTCATTACATTTATCAATTTATTGCTCTTTTAATTAACAGAATTTTCAATGATCATCTTGTTTGTGGGATGTTACTTTTGAAATAACAAATTTATTTCTTCGTTCCTTTTGCAGATGATATCGTACCACTAATCTGTGAGTATTTTTATAGGTATAAGAATTAATAATTGGATACAACTCTGATAATAAGGGAAGTTTTTATTACATATTGTTACAAAGACGGCGAAAGATGCCTTGTAGGGCAATAAATTTCCTAACTGTAACAGTGGTGCTGACAGTATGAATGGCTACTCATCTGTTTGTTACCTAACTATTAAAAATCAATTAATTCTATTATATAAATTTCATTCTTTAACATACTTCAATTGATTTTTCTTAAATGAATTTTTAAAATATTTATTGAGCAAAAGATATTGTATACCCTTTGCAAATACGGATGTTTATTTCATTCATAATACCCGATATTCAATTGAAAACAAAAAAGTAATTTTTATAAGTTGGATTTACTTATTTTATGCATGGCATGCGAAAATTCAATCACTGATATTTCTAGAAAAATCTAGTTAAACGGAGATTTTCACAGTTTATTATAATGTTGAGTGTCTACAATATCAAAACAATACAACCTCAGCGATTTTAAATCATGCTTCGACCAAGGCAGTCGTGGCTAGAATCTCTTTGAAAGTACATGTAGATTTGTACGTAAGGTATATATCATAACTTTATTTAGTCTGTTGTGAAAAGAGAAACAAGCGCAAAATGACCAGTGGTAACTCAAGTGATGATGACGGTTCTTTGTTAACTCCGCATTTTTTGCGAAAAAATGCACGTCTGAGCACAAATTCACTAGCAAGCTCGTCTGTTGTTATCGGAAACATCTCTGATGAAGTTTTACGTGTTTGGGGACAACTCCCGGAAGCTATTCGTTTAGATCCCAGCTTGGCTGTTTTTCAAAAAGAATACGAGAGAGTGCAGGGGATGTGAGTGTGATTGTTTATTCACGGTATAGATTCGATTATAGTCAGAAATTAATTGTTTCATAGGTTATTGCAAATAGAGATTAAGCAAACCCTTATTATTTTTATAAAGATGATATTTGTTCTTTCCTTAAAGATCCTCGCTTCCTCGACAAGACTGTTTGGTTGTGAATTTGTCGTTGAAACATCAGCTCATACCCGAAGAGTAAGCTTTAGTTCACACGAACTTACGGTGCGTTTCGCATATGGTAAATTCGACTAATGAGAATAAATTGTTATAGTGGAAAAGAGGACGACGCCCAAGATCCAAACGACAAAATGAATTCTCACGAGAGAAAATTAGGTCCTATCGCGCGATACATAAAACTTTCGTTGCTAGTTAGTTGTTGGATAATTTGTTTTGTAAGTTATGAAAATCAATTTTTCATACAATAATATAGATTCGCGTAAAAATGTCTCAATATATAATTCTTCTTTTGCCAGCTGACATTATTGATTACGAGAGAAAAAGTTATGACTCCGCATCAATTATCAGTGCCAAGGAATGAAGTAAAAAGTATCCTTTGGAAAAATAGATTTATCAAGACATGCGTACTGTTTTGTAATTTCGGAATGGTTTCTTTAACCGTACTGCTTAGATTTTACACTCATCGATGGTAATTACCACAGTAGAGTGAGCGTATCGATCGAAAGCGCGCTATTGATCAATGTAAACAAAGAAGTCAACACGACCATGTCAAAGTTCAGATTATCAGCATGGCTAGAATTATTACCGGAACTGTCTAATACTCGCAATAAATCGTTACGTGATATAGGATTGGCTAAGGTAAAATAAGAGTGTGCCATGGAAAAATATAACGAGTGATTTTACAAGTACTTTTTATAGAACATATCGGAAATCTGGACTCTGCCTTTGTTGCCCATTGAATTTCTTGATGTGATTCCCAGTCAGCGACGTAAGAAAGTTTTCGACATTCACGTACCGCATGAGTATATAGCCTTGTATTTTTTTATATCAATAAAAATTAAAATATATAATAACTAAATTAAAAAAGTTTAATTTATCGCAGATTGAATCATCGACTAATAGTACTAAATTTGAAGACAAATTTGAATGCGACGATACCCCTATACGTGTCGTACGATTTATCTCCAATGAGTCTCGAAGATGGAACTCTTTATGGGGCTTTAGTCTTGATCGGTCTTTACATTCTCATCGTATTCGAAGTACTATAAAATAAAAAAAATCGTTCTTTTATTCATATCGTACTATACTTATAATTGTTTTTTTATCACAAACAGATTATCCACCGAACCCTTGCAGCTATGCTGGCTTCAACATTGACTCTCGCTATATTAGCTGCATTGAACGAAGTAAAATTATTTTCTTTGGTCATTTTGTATTTACCTAAACAAAATTTGGATATTACAATGTATTTTTGCAGAAACCAACTATGGGCGATATCATAATGTGGGTCGACGTCGACACTCTTCTACTACTTTTTTCAATGATGATCCTTGTAGCTATTGTTGCCGATACAGGTGTATTTGATTATTTATCTGTTTACGCTTATAAGGTGAATATTAACATGTATCTTTCGATAAAATATTCAAATGGATTAAAACAAAATTATTTTTAACAGATAACCGCTGGTAAAGTATGGCCATTAGTTAGCACACTGTGCTTTTTCACAGCGATAATATCGTCGTTCCTGGACAACGTGACTACAGTGTTATTAATGACACCAGTGTCGATAAGACTTTGCGAAGTGATGCAACTGAATCCTGTACTTGTGCTCACCGCTATGGTCATATTTTCTAATATTGGCGGTGCTACTACTCCCATTGGAGATCCCCCGAATGTCATTGTTGCCTCTAACCGCGCAGTTGTTAATGCCGTAGGTATTCAGGCGCGATCGCTCGTTTTGTTTGAGGCTATGTGATAATTGGACTATTTTCAGTAGCCAATGTGAATGAATTATTGGAAAATTTTATTTTTCACGCGATCTTGTTTGTTTTTTTTTCTAGGGTATTGGATTTGGAACTTTTACCTTACATATGGGTATCGGTGTTGCGATAGTATTAATGGTAGTTTATATTCATTTCCGAATTATTTTTCGGAAGTTAGACGTTTTACGATTTACTGAGCCTCCAGACGTCCAGGTATTGTGAAAATTAGATTTTCTTTTACATTGATAGGAGGAAGTTTATTAATTTACACTGACTTTTCTGCAGGAACTGAGACATGAAATCGCTATTTGGCAGAGAGCAGCTGCTAGTTTATCCAGTTACAGTAACGACGAAAACGTTGTAAGGCAAACTCTGATGAAAAAAGTTAAACGATTGTTATTACAGTTGAAACAAAAATTGATAACTGGTAGTGTATTGATGGAACAATATAAAACAACATTAGAAGAGCTTCAAGAAAAAGTGAGTATAAGCTTTATCTGTGAAACTTTGTACATATTTAATGAAAAATTAAAAAAAATGTTGTCTTTTAAATTTAGTACCCAATAAGGAACAAATGGCTGTTGGCAAAATCAGGCTTTTCCATGATTCTCGTAATCATGCTGTTCTTTTTACACAGTTGGCCATATTTTAATTTGACCTTGGGTTGGACAGCATTTTTATGCATCTTGCTCCTCCTCATTCTGGCAGATAGCGAAGATCTCGATGGTCTGATGGCTCGTGTCGAGTGGAGCACTTTGTTATTTTTTGCTTCTCTCTTCGTTCTGATGGAGGTATGATTAAGAACAGGGATCTTTTTTCTTCCGAATAACTTGTTGACTTCGATAATTTTTTAATAGCTTATCGATAAATTTATGTTTCAAAATGTTTACTGTAGACAGTTTGGTTGCTTTCGATTATTTGACCTTCTGAAATATCATTTAGATAAAAAAGACATGAATTTTAGGCTTTGACAAAACTTGGCGTAATTTCCTGGATCGGCAAAAAGACTGAAACGGTGATCATGTCGGTGAATGAAGAGTCCCGATTGGCGGTCGCCATTTTACTTTTGCTGTGGGTTAGTGCGTTGGCTGGAGCTTTTGTTGATAATGTGCCTTTGACTACAATGATGATAAGAATAGCTACTGGATTAGCAGAAAATCCTAATCTACAACTACCCCTACAACCGTTGGTTTGGGCACTATGTTTAGGTGCTTGCATGGGAGGTAACTGCAATGTTTTGTTGTTGAATCTTAACGAAATAATCAAACTATTCATTGAAAAATTATCCCTTTTTATAATTGCTAATGAATACGTGTTTTATCACGTATAGAGTAATATAGTATTTTTATTGATATTTATTCAGCAAAATTTTAATTTTCTAGTAATGATAAAAATTAATCCAATGTCATTTCAAGGCTTTATGCAAGAAAAAAAATCAAATTATACCTCTTCAAAAATTAGTAATAAGGACAAAGCACAATTTAAATATCTAGTCTAACCTTCCATATAGTGTGTAATTATCAAATACTCGCAAAAAACTAGTGAAAAACATAATTTGTAAGCTTGTTGTATACCGATGGATAAGTAAGCGTGTGTAACAAACTTTTTTTCGTGAAAAGAAACGTGATACACAAGGCGTTGACAGTGGATTTGATGTTGTCGTATGAACGGGTGCATTGTTCACAGGGAATGGGACTTTGATTGGAGCGACCGCCAATGTCGTGTGCGCTGGAGTTGCTGAACAACATGGCTATCGTTTCACGTTCATGCAGTTTTTTAAGTGAGTTCGTAATTCATTCTATTTTTTTTATTTAGAGATTTATCGTTGTGCCGTTTCCACTCGGGATGATGTATGATTATTATGTCCGACTAACGCTCATCGCCATTGCCAGAGTCGGGGAAACTTTTTTTTCGTATGATGCTGAGTGACCTATTTTCCAGTTGTTATGTGATTTGGTGAATGAATTAACATTCATTATTATTGCAAAATAACGATATATAAGAGTAAATAATTAATAAATAATAAAAATCACAAAATAATACAAAACAGTAATAAAAATTTAGAATTAAACATTAAATTTTTATGGATCTATTTGAAATATTCTTCTACGGTGAGTGCAAACATTTTTGTTTACAAATTTACTTTCATCGATGGAATAGACATTTTTCTTCCAAGAATAATTTAAAGAATAATTTACAAATGGAATTTAAGAAATGTCAACGACTTTTCTAATAATATTCATATTTTTTATCAGTAGAAAGAAAGCTATCGCGCAAATTTATTGCTAATAAAGATTTCCGCAGAATCTAAAATTTATGAATGTCTCTTTTTAGGGTCGGATTCCCAGTGTTATTAAGCAGCACGTTCACCATAACGATTTATCTGATGATTGCTCACGTCGTTTTCGATTGGAATAGCTAAGATAATCTGTGATAAAAATAGTAAAATTTTTTCAGGGGAAAATTTTGCCTTATTTACAGATTTTGAATGTAAGTCATCAAAGAAAAAACTACTCTTAATTATAAGTGTATGAAAACATATAATCGAACGAATTCTTCTGTATATTATATATATGTTGTCTTATGTTTTATACTTGTAAAGTATATTTTTTGTAATATATGTGAGGTTGATTTTGTATATTGTTCGTATACTAAAGAGTAATAAATAACGTGTTCTAAGAACAAAACAAGTGCCGACTTGAGATTGATATTTATTAGTTGACAATGACCCACAAAGCGTTAACTTATTGCAAAAATGTCTTGATTAATTCGTGTCTAAGTCGTGTTGGAATCTTTGTAATTATTGTTTACATCTATAATTAGGCGTAACAAGCAGCAACCTCCGTCGCGAGGGCAAGGCGACATAAACTTCTGCAAAACTCCGCGTGGAAAATTCTGTCTCATTATCCCGTGTAAGTTTGACTGTACTATGAAAAAAAAAAGATATTTGTGAACGTCAAAGCGATCATTGTATCGTCTGTTCTGACCGAATCAAAAATGAGTGATCTTAAAAGTATGTAAAATGCGTGAAACGTTATGATTATAGCTTATTAGATTAGCGTAAGCGTAGTTAGAAACTAGTCAGCGTAAGAAATTAACGTCAGAAAAAGCATTTGGTATTTTTTATACCTTTAATCTTTATAATGAAGAGATTGAAAATGACTTTTTATATACCCCTTTAAGATCTTTGGTTTATCATATTTGTCATTATTCATAAAATATGTTAAGTACTTATCGTTTTATATGATATATTCTTGCCAAACTTTTTACAATTATTATTTCTCGAAAATGATATCTGTCAATATGATTATTTTAATAATAGCTAAAATATAAAAAGCTATCACAAAATTTAAATATATTAAATATTTTAGTTAATCGAAAATATTACTGTAAAGAACAAAAAATGTATAATCGTTATATTAGATTTGTGTTTTCATCGTCACGTAGTTTCTTGAACCACATCTCGACTTGAGTGACTTAATTAAGAGCAAAATCTCACTTTGTAGAAGTGAAGAGAATTTCTGCTCTAGAAAATACACTTTTACTCACGTAATTAGACATATACTGTAGCTCTCGAAACCACTGCATCAGCTGATTCCTCTTTATGATTGTTTTCACGAATTTATAAAAAAACATTTATGTGCAAACAAACTCAATTCTGAAGGAGCTCTGCCCCCACGCGAGAAAGAGAAGAAAAACTTTTAATTAATAAAACGACTCTTAAATAAGAGTACAAAACAATGGTAAAGCAAAGGATAACCAAACGAGTATTACAAAACAGCTCCACTCTCACTCTCTGATTTCCACGATGTGTGCTATGTGCTGAGCGCGCACGAATCCGGATTGCGCGCAATCACGTACTCACGCAATTGCGACGAATTCTGGTTTTGTTTCTATGATGTCGCGAAAAATTTTCATATCAAAAATCCGGCCAAGGCTCTTGAAGGTTTTTATCGAGAATGCACTAGACAGCCGCATTGGTTACTTTTCGTGTGAGTAGATGTACATTTTCTGATTACTATCTTACAAAAAAGTCTGCCCTGCCGAAAATACCAGTTCAATATCGTCATGCGCATCTTCCTAGTTTATGATATAATGCCGATTGTTTTTTTACATTCCAAAGTATATTTAACATTGTGTATTTATATTTGGATTGTCTTGATTTTGTATTATTGATTACTTTGAATGATCTTTGTCGAATTCATTATTTATATGAAACGATATTTTATATGAAACGATGAACCGGCATTATATGAAACGATATTTTAAAGTGACAAATTTTGCCTTATAAGAAAAATCGATGTTATTTACAAAAAATTAGAATGCATAATGTGCTGCAGTATGCATAAAATATTTTTATATCGCTTTATTTTACTTTTTTACTGAAGTACTAAAATACGCAATATTTACATCACGTACAAATGTATATTAATGCTTATCTGATCGTAAGTATATATTATCCTTTCATAAAAAGATTAAAACACATTTCACTTAATTATTTCAACATCAAAACCCTATGTAGTTAAATTTTTTTAATATTTGAATTTTACCTGTTATAATGCACAATAATTTTATCAAACATAAATATATGATATTTGAATTTTATTTCTTATTAATCTAAGAAATCACAGACATATTTTTTACAGACAGACTTTTCTATTGAACACAAAAAATAAAATAATTAAAAAAAATGAAATATACGACATTAAAATTTTTATTAATGAACAAAATTTTAAAAATAATTCTTTCAAATGCTTATCTATTCCCGTAAACATATTTTATGTAGAATACTTTCATTCTATTATTTTCCAATAGAATTTGCTTGTAGAAAGTTTACACGTTCAATAAAATATTTTTTCTAATGAATATTATTTCATATATATTCTATTCAAGCAGAGAAGGATTATCTTAAACAAAGTTAATTAAAAAATGTATGTTGAATGAAATCGCGTAGAAACGATATTTATACGAAACGAATCCGCGCCATGATGCTACTTACATATCAATTAATTCCATGATAAACTTACGCACATTAAATATTATAAAACACATTGTAAAATAGTTTTTTGCCAATAAACACGAGAGCATCGCGCAAAGTTTTTTGTTACGGGAGTGATTCTTCATCGATCTTAAAAACGCGTCACGATATATGCGTGAATTACCGAGAATTCGCAGCTTCTCGTTCTTTCACGTATCTCAGGCATGTTTAGCATAATAAAAACGAACACTGCAAGAAGGCAAAGATCATGGATTACTCAATGACGTCGATCTTGGCAGTGATAATGTGAACTATAGTCATACGTTCGGATAAACAGCCCTTGACTTTTCTATTACGTTGAGAAGGCCGAAATATACAAACAGTGCCATCAGTTATCGTTTATTGTCGATTAAAAATTTTTTTATTTTGTCGAGTTATTGCATTGTCGAGTGTCTGTTAAATTTATGAAACACTGAATCATATTTACGGAAAAATGTAACACCTATTTTGCGCCTTGACAGTAAAGCAGAATTATTTATTACCATTATAATCATCCGACACGAAGGATGTTGTCATTCTTTTCAGTTTTTTTAGTTAAAATTAGTTTTAATAGATTGGAGAACATTTAAGCAGCTTATTTTTTCATCCAGTAATTATAGTTTGAAAGTGAATTTGAAATCAAACAACAAATTAATTTTATTAACTAATGCTTTATTAATTAATTTTACAATAAAGAACGAACCCATATTTTACTAATTTTTTTTTTTTAAACGTAACAAATGAGATCCGAAAAAAGTTATTATAAATAATTTATAACGGCAAGATATCGAATGCCAGCGTAATTTGTGAAGTTGACGAAATTTTTCTATGTTTCCGGAAGAAAAACATTCCATGATTGTGCGTGTAAACATATATAATTTTTGATGGATTAATACATATGAATTAATACATCGTGAAATTTTTTTATATCGAATGATATCGCTTATTGACCGAAGTCACTGACGATAGTGCGGTTATTTTTTTGCTGCCAAAGTCTGTCTCAAGATCATCGCTGATCCTTCATATTTTTTCTAGTAATATGAATCTTATTAACATTCTTCTTCTCTGAAAATGCATGTTGTAGTGTGCAATAAAAAAAATGCTAATATGAGAAATTATTGTTGAACGGGAGCTTATAAAATCTTCCATTTCCTAAATGCATGATGTAGTATACTTTCTTAAATATAGTTTTATACATAACTAATTATAATAAACGACGGAGATTTTTGAAATTTTTATTACAGAACAATTTAAAATTGGAATATTAATTTCCTTCTATGACGTATATTATATAATCAAATAAATAGTAAAATCTCTTTTGACCGTCATACGATACTTAATTATTACTAAAAAATCTCCATTTATTTTAAACGATAGAGTATTAAATTCACAAAAAAAGAAATAACTTAACATTTCGGCGAATCAATTATTATTGACTGCTTCGCGAGGTGAACGCATGAGGCAAGGCTGCGAGTAATGAATTCGACAAAGATCGATGCCCTCCGCACGCGCGGAAAGATACGCCCAGCAGAGTTGTAAATTAATTTCCGTATACGAACCGGACGGTAACCACAATTTTGCACTATAAGAGTTGAGCCTTTAAAGATATTTACGGAAAATTTAACGATATTTTTTTAACTACTCTATGCATAATTTTATGCATAATGTTGATATGTTGATTACCATTGCACGATTCGTTGATTTTTCCGTCGAAGTTTTTTCACGGGAGGATTTCTCGAAAAAGTCGTTTAACTCTATCGTTTGATGATTTTCATAAAATTAACACTGAAGATTTGTAACTCAACTTAGTGCTATTAAAATATCATCATTAATAATTGAAATAAAAATGTCTGCTGATGAAACTAGAAGTGAACCTTATATCATATAATTTGAGCATGCCTATTAGATATCATAAAATAATTGTCTCTATAATTTGAAACAATCTAAATCAAAATAACGCATGTATTTATTTCTAAGAATATTTATCAGTATCATACTAGATCTTCACCAAACATCAATCTAAAATATATTTTTAAATCCTTTTCTTCCTACGCAGCGTTATAAACTAGACGTGTTGTGGTATGGCTAGTTTTTTATAATTCATCGACCTTGACTACTTTGCACTATAAATGTCTCCATCGTCGATAGTTGCTATATTTGTCACGCGTAGAAGTTCAATAGTGTCGTTCATTACTGTGGATAGTAATTTTTCTGCTATCGCTATTATACGAGTTTGAACTCTCTATAGCACTATCATATTATTATAATTACGAGTGTTATCAATTGACGAGTGCGGCGACATGTTCTTATCGTTTCGTATGTTTTTCAATTGACAATATATAAGCGTAGTATTGAACTTAACGGGCGAGACAGCTTATTAATTTCTACTATCGCGAAGTCGTAATAGCTTTCTCAACTATACGGTGTAAGATAAAAAAAGAAAAGTAACTGTCGATACTGGTACTTCGTTTCATTGCCGATTGCTATTTTCCTGCATATGTCATTATGTTTTGTTCGAAACTAAATGTTTTAGTTGCATCGTTATTCAATTGATTTTTGCGAGTAAACGATGAATTCATCGTAGATAGTTTTTATTAACGAGTGACTGATTATTTTTCATTTACTCATTTGCAAAATTGCTGTTG